AACCCCAGGGAGGATTTCATGAAGCTTTCCCAGGTAGAAACAAAGGTGTTCCTTGTTCCACTGCAGGCTCCAAGTTTGCTCTTGGCCTTGGCCCCCATCCCAGTCCTCAGCTTATGCTAAACCTCAGCCAAGGTCCAGCCCTCATCATGCTTCCCGACTGGCCCTTCCTACCTCTGGGGCTGCTGAGCCACGGCTAACACTGGAGAGGACAAAGCCTCTGCTGGGCTGGGCGCCTGCAAGAGAACCGTGAAGGGCTCTCTGTGACTGCATGGTAGACTGTGGGTCATTTCAGGATCCTGTCTGCAAAGGAGATGGGGAAGCCCAGGCAGCCAACTGCACTTTGGCACGTCAGGGCATATAATGAGCCTCCACTTGGGGCTCGAATAAACCCCTGGTTGTTACTAAATAGCAATAAAGCAGGAAGGCCTCTGGCTTCCCCAAGCCTAGTGCTGCCTAGGACAGAGGTTTGGACAGAAGTGCCCTATCTGCTGAGCAGCATCCAAATGATCCCAGAAACCTCCCTTGTCCTCAACCCCAAGTAAGAAGAGAGGAGCAGGGATCTGAGCAGCCGGCTTCTCACCTCGCCTGCCCTTCAGCTGTCTGCATTTCCCACCTGACCCCACGATTACTCAGGCAGCCTCTCATTTACAGAGTCTACAGTCAATGGGCAAACATTGTAAATCCACACAGTTGGTACTGTTGGAGGTAAAGGAAGAGGATCAAAACGGCAGAACTTGGAATGATGGCATTTCCAGCCATCTTTCTGCTTTTCTAGATTGTATGACTCTGGACATGACACACACATCTCCCATGCCTACCCACCCCCCAAGTTCTGTCTTCTTTTTTATTTTTCTGTTCATCCCCTAGATCCAAAGTTTAAAAAGCAGAAACAGCCCTGGCCAGTTTGGCTCAGCCATTAGAACATCAGCACTCGGACCAAAGGGTCACGGGTTCAATTCCTGATCATGGGTACGTACCTGGGTTGTGGTTTCAATCCCCAGCCCCAGTCTGGGTCGTGCGGGAGGCAACCAATCAATGTATCTCTCTCACATCAATGTTTCTCTCTCTTTCACTCTCCCCCAACCCTTCCACTCTAAAAATTAATTTAAAAATATCCTTGAGTGAGGATTAACTAAAATAAAATAAAAAGTAGAAACAAATAAATAACAAAACCAAGCTGAACAAAGTGAGGTATTTCAGTGTCAGGGTTTCTTATTAAGGGCAGTCTCCCAAATTCTGCACATCTGCCCACATCTGCCCACACCTGCCCACACCTGCCCACACCTGCCCACACCTGTCCACACCTGCCCCTGTATGGCCACCTGGTCTAGGACACTTTTGAAACCATCTTCTCCACCATGGTTCTTTTTGAGTCTCTAATTTGCTATGACACTTGCTACGACTTGGGATCCCACACTGGGTGGAACACTGGCCATGGGCATCATTGTGAGAAACTGAGCAGGACGATCTGAATGTCCTGAGAGCCCAAGAGGAGAAGGTTTTCTGAACGTGCGGCTGCAGCACGTGGGCAGGATGAAGAGAGGGCTCGGCCACAGCAGCTGGAGCCGGTCCTCAGGACTCCTCATAGCCAATCCTTTGCATGAACTGTAGTCAGTGATATTAGCTACATTTTCTTAGATTCTGTATTCTTTAAGACTTCTTTTATTTTTCAGTTATAGTTGGCATGCAATATTATATTAGTTTCAAGTGTAGAGCATAGTAGTTAGACATTTATATGAAGCTGTCACCATGATAAATCTGGTACTCATCTGACACCATGCATGCTTATTACAATATTACTGACTATATTCCTTATGGTATATTTTCTACATGAATATTTTTAACTGTCAATTTGTACTTCTTTTTCTTAAATATGTTTTTATTGATTTTTAGAAAGAGAGGAAGGGAGAGGGAGAAAAACAGGCTGCCTCCCACATGCACCCAGACCAGGGATCGAGCCCGAAACCGAGGCTTGTGCCCTGACCAGAACTGAACCTGCAACCTTTTGGTGCATGGGCCAATGCCCAGCCAACTGAGCCGCACCAGCCAGGGCCAATTTGTACTTCTTAATCCCTTCTCCTTTTAAACCCATCTCCTTAGCCCTCCTTCCATCTGGCAACCATCAGAATGTTTTCTGTGTCTGAGTTCATTTCTGTTTAGTTTGTTTGTTTTTTATAGATTCCACATATAAGTGAAACCATGTGGTATTTGTCTTTCTCTGTCTGACATATTTCACATAATACTGCCTAGATTCATCCATGTTGTTGCAAATGGCAAGATTTCATTCTTTTCATGGCTGAGTAGTATTCCATTTTATATATGTACCATTTCTTTATCTACTCATCTATCAATGAACAGTTAGGTTGCTTTCGTATCTTAGCTATTGTAAATACTGCAGCAATGAACATGTGGGGTACATATATCTTTTCTAATTAGTGTTTTGGGTTTCTTCAGAGAAATATTCAGAAGTGAAAATGCTGGGTCCTTCTTTGTTTTTTGTTATAAGTGTTACTACCCCAGCTTTTTAAATTTTTATTTCCATTTTCATAAAATATCTTTTCCATCCATTTCCTTTCAGACTGTGTGTGTGTGTGTGTGTGTGTGTGTGTGTGTGTGTTTCAATCTGAAGTGAGTCTCTTGTAGACAGCATATGTAAGGATCTTGTTTTGTTATCCATTCACCACCCTATGTCTTTTGATTGGAACATTTAATCCATTTACATTTAAAGTAATTGTTGGTAGATACTAGTTACTGCCATTTTATTATTAATATTTCTAATCTTATTTTCTTCTTCTTCTTGAAGAAATCCCTTTAACAGTTTTTTGTAATAGTGGTGTGGTGGTGATGAAATCCTTTAGCTTATCTGAGAAGCTCTTTATCTGTCCTTCAATTTTAAATGATAACTTTGCTGGGTAGAGTAATCTTGGTTGTAGGTCCTTGCTTTTCATCACTTTGAATATTTCATGCCACTCCCTCTGGCTGCAGAGTTTGTTGAGAAATGAATTTTCTGTATTCTTGATGCTTTGGCATCTGAGGCCTCACGGACAAGGAGGGACTGTCCCTCGAGCACAGCTAGCTCATTCTAGAGAGTAAACCACTGGCCTGTGAGCAAACCTCTGACGTGCAACCCGCCAATCCTGAGTATATGCCCCTACCTGCCTCCTCCCTCTGGCTCTTACACCCTGGGAAGCGATCTTCCTCTGCCCTAATCACCCCAGGGCTGGCATCACCCCTGTAGCCCAGAGACCACTGAAATTATTCAAACTACCCAATCTTAGCTGTTTAACGTACCTTTCCCACTCCTTCCCATAAAATCCACAGTTAAGCCTTTGCCCACGGTCTCCCCTCACCTCTTCTGCTTCCTGACCGGACCTGGGGCTTCCTTCCCTATGTGGTCTGTGTAGTGTGGCTGCCTCCTCCTCTTGGGAGCTGTAAGTAACAAACCATTTTTTCAAATGGCCTCATCATACCTGAATAAAAACAAAATCAAGGCATTGTAAAACACCCTTCTAAGGGCTTCCAGAAAATGAGCTCCAGACCTGAGACAGGGAAGGCTGGACTGCTCACCCGTGGTCACAGCGCTCAGTCATGCGTGCACTTACCGAGTGTCGGTGGGTGTCTACCACAAGCCAGGCTTTGGGGCGCAGCAGTGAACCAGGAGCTGACTGTGGGGAAGAGTCATCTCGACACTGTGGGATGAGGGCTCTGCAGGGGAAACTGAGGGAGCTACGGAGAGAGAAGTGATTGTTCTGCCCCTTGTGCCAGTCATCTGCGTGGTTTCATTTCACTGAACTTCCCGCCAGCAACCCCGGCTTCTCTCTGCTCCAGCCCCGCCCTGGGGCTCGCTGGGGAGCAGGCAAAATAGTCTCTCCTCTCAGTTCTTTCTCTTCTCACTCCCTCTCTGACAGCTGGTGCCTGAAGTCCTCCTCCTGGTCAACAAGGAACTTGCCACTCATTCACATGCAAGCGCAAAGGGCTGATAATGGCTTAAAACAGTGATTTGAATCCTTTTAAAGAAACAGTCCTTTCCTCTCTCTGCAAACTGAAGATGATAGAGAAGCCACAAACACGCAGACATGTGGGTGTAAGATTCTCAGGTTGAGGACAGGACTACCCCAACCCCCACCTGTGGGGAACCCAGAAGGGTCTGGGAACCCAGTTTTTTTTTTTAATCCTCACCTGAGGACATTTTTCAATATTTTGTTCAGATAGAGTGGGAGTGGGAGAGAGAGAGAGAAACATCGACGTAAAGGGAACACATCGAGTGGCTGCCACCCACACGACCCAACCAGGGCCAGGGACAAACCGCAACTGAGGTACGTGCCCTTAGCAGGAACCGAACCCGGGTCTCTCCGGACCGCAGGCCGACGCTCCAACCACTGAGCCAAACCAGCCAGGGCTGGGAACCCAGTTTTGAGCAACCACTCTTCAGGGCTCTATGAACCCCCTGACCTGTAAGCACCATGTTTATGCTCTTGCGGATGTTTCGATTGAAGGTGGACCAAGTGTTGGAGCCATGCTGTCCAATGGTGTGGTCACTGGCCACATGTGACTATTTACATTTAAATTAGTTAAGTTGAAATAACATTACACTTTCAGTTCCTCAGTCCCCCTTGTCACAAGGGAGTGCTGAGAAGCCACCGTGGCTACCACAGAGTGTGCTACTGAACCACCCTGATCCACAGGGTTCATGATCTCATCCACCACTAAGTGAAACTTCATTAAAGGAGCCAGAAACTGATTCTCCAGGAAGACAAACGCTTACCACTGTGACAAGGGTTATGAACAAGTCTGCCTTTGAGTGATCTTTTCGCTCCAAAAATCCAACTCTAAAGCTCTTTAAAAACATGCTGGTTCTGTGCTTTATTGTGTATCTCTTCCCTCCTTTTTGAGAGGGACACACAGTTCCCCAGAGCCTCTGTGCCCAGCACGCGTCGCGGGGGGACACAGGGCAGGCGTTCCAGTGACCTTGTCTCCTCTGTTGTGTGTGACTGTTGCAGGTGGGCGAGGCCGTCCTGGAAAACGCCCGGCTCGTGCTGCAGACAGAGAACATCCAGGCAGGTGCGGACGACTTTAAAGAGAGGTAATGCTCTGCCGCAGAGGGGACGGTCCCTCCAGGTCTCCAGACCAGCCGGTGACTCCAGTAATGCTGTCTGCAGTCTGCAGCGTTCACCTCCAGCCGCATGAAGGCTGGGATAGGAAAATAGGTCCCCAGGGAGAATCCACGGCCAAGCCGGTCAGGTCCCAACCCTCCTCGTAGACACAAACTAGGCCCCAAGGGCTCAGAGGTTTTGCCTAGTGTCACTCAGTTTAGAGCAGAGGTTCTCAAACTCTAATGTAGCTCAGCATCAACTCGAGCACTTGTAGAAACCCATTGCTGTGTCCCACCCTCAGGGGTTTTAATTCAATAGGTCTGGAGAGAGGCCCAAAATTTCCATTTCCTATGAGATCCCGATGATGCTGATCCTGCTGGTCCTGGGACCCCACTTGGAGAACTGGTTTAGAGCAACGCTTCCCAGCGGAGGCTGCATGGCTGCATGGCTGCATGGCTGCATATTAACATTACCTGGGCACTAAAAATGCCAGTCACAAGCCCCACGATGAATTAAACCAGAGTGTCTGGGGGTGGGGCCTAGGACTCCATATTTTTAACATCCACCAGTCCTGAGAACCATCCCTTTGAAGTCGAATACAGTGTTTCCTAAAATATATTGCTATATGTATCGGTGTATACACAGGGGTGAGCAAAAGTAGGTATATTGTTGTCGGTATGGGAAATAATGCAATAATTAATAAATAATAGTACAAGAATAAACTTGGTGTATATATTGCTGGTGACAATTATTTTAAGTGGTATAAGGATAATCGTTTTATTTTTTTTATTTTTTTATCCTCACCCGAGAACATTTTTTGGATATTTTGTTCAGATAGAGCAGGAGGGAGGGAGAGAGAGAGAGAGAAACATCGACGTAAAAGGGACACATCGAGTGGTTGCCACCCACACGACCCAACCAGGGCTAAGGACAAACTGCAACCAAGGTACGTGCCCTTAGCGGGAACCAAACCCGGGTCTCTCTGGACCGCAGGCCGACGCTCTAACCACTGAGCCAAACCGGCCAGGGCTAACCATTTTATTTTTAATAGTTATGTATTTATTTTTATAGTCACCTTCTATTTAGGACCCATGAAACCGTTTTTCCACTACAGTACTACCATGTATATAGTGACAATTTAAAATGTATTTAGCATTCAAGTTTATTGATCTAAGGTTTACTTTTTAAGTAGGTAAATCTAAGGAAAAATGTAAAGTAAATAGTGATACAGGAGATACGCATTTAGGGCAAAATCATGAAGGCAAACGAGGTTTGGGAAAACACTGGGTCTACTGGAGAAGCCAAACAAAGCAGACTCTTTTCTGGATGAGCCCAGTAGTGATTTTGAGAACATTCTGTGGGGCAGGTGTCCTGGATGTAGGGCACTTGGGTGGGGGAAGGGATTGTTAATCAAGGGAACATCTTCCTAGATGGGTGAAGACAAAGAGGAAAGACATCCAGTTGGGAGTCTCGGGGAAAGACCATGATCCCACCATCATTCTTGCCTTAGGAAAAGATCTGGTGATGAAAAGAAGAATCTCTAGCATCTCCTCAGATCCTGAATCCTTCCCTTTCTCAAGGACCGAGCTTCTCCATCTGCGGAAAGGGTCTCGGTCAGTGACCCCTCTGGAGCCGAGGAGGCTCAGCCAGCCAGAGCTGCTGTGTTGCCCGACACTGTGCTGGCCAAGGTCACAGGAGCACAGAGAAGTGAAATAACAAGCTGAGGAGAGAAAGCTTGTCTAAAATTCAGGGAGAGATAACGAGTTTCGTTTGGAGCAAGCTGAATTGAGCTGATAGTGGAGAAACCAATCAGAAATTATGGGATGCTGCTGAAGGTGTTGGGCCAGTAGCCTCCAGGTCAAGATGAGACAATCTGGGGGTCATGAGCACAGAGATGCTAACTGAAGACTTCAAAGTGGAGGGGGCAGGGGGCAAGGGGCAAAGTGCAGCAAGAGAAGGCTAAGAGCTGAAGAGCAGCCGCGGGGGAGTATCACAGATATATTTCAAATCCTTAGAGCGGCGATTCTCGATCTTTTTCATCTCATGGCACACATACACTAATTACTAAAATTCTGTGGCACACCAAAAAATATATCTTTTGCTGATCTGACAAAAAAATAGGTATAATTTTGATTCATTCACATTAGATGGCTATCTGACAATCTAAGGCAAAAGAGGTCAGTGCCCCTGACTAAATAGTCAGGTATTGCATGTTTTAAAATTGCTTGGGGCACACAAAGTGAAAATCACTGCCTTAGAGGACTTCAAAAAAAGTCTGTAAGACACCCATTCCCATTGTTAAGTGGACCATAGCCTGGAGGGACCAGGCTCCGCGGAGACGTGAGCAATACAAGACTCCAGGGGCCCAAGGGGGACTCTTCCAGCTTGGATCCACAAGGACCAAGTCCAGTCATAGGAGTGGGTTTCCATTTCAGCTGGAAGGACAGCACTTGTTTCCAAGAGGACTACATGTAAGAATACAATTCGTCATCAAGAATACACGTGGATAGGAAAGTTAACCCTACATATAGAGCACAGAAAATGCTTCAGAAACCACCTCCCAAGTGCTGATTCAAAGGCGCAGCTCCAATCTGAGGGAGGTCTCTGATAGTGTGCTCTGTCCTTCATTCTTTTATTTACTATTTTTAACTGCGAGGTGCATGAAACACGGTGGCAAAATGGCAGAAGGTATAAACCAGGAGGGGCAGTGAAGAGAAGGACAGAATCAGGATTCAAAATGGTCTGAACACATTGGTACGACGGCCCAATGGAACTGAAGAAGGATAACTGTGATCTCCTACGTTGGAGCTCAAAGACCAGGTGCAACCAGGGAGGACAGGGAAATTGTGAAAAATGTAAAACAGCTCTTGTGAAAAATGCTCGGGGCTTCTAGTTGACAGGAGACCAATATTAGTGGGCAGCAAATACAGCTGGTCAACATTAAATGAACAAACACAAACAAAAACCTGCAAAGCAAATCTTAGGGTCCATGATGAAGAGCGTTAAAGGACTTAAACAAAGGAGTAGACAGTCCCACGGGACTCTGAACTGGTCAGGCAATGTCTGGAGTTGCAGTCAGTCTGTATCACATTTTAAGAAGGATATAAGATCAATGAGAACATTTATAATCATTCCACAAATATATCTGAAGACTGGAGCTGGGTGCTGAGAATACAAAGATGGAAAGGTCACAGTCCCTGCCCTCAATGCTGAGGGATGTGAAAACCAACTTATATCAAGAATGGAGGAAGGACCTGGGCATGTATAACTTGAGGAACAAAAGGCTTGGAGGGGTGGAAGGTGGGGAAGGGGAATGAGAGAGTAACATAAGAGACAGCCTCTAAATATTTGTAGGACTGCCAGAAGGAAGGATTTGACTGATTTAGGGTGTTCCAAAGGGTAGAACACAGATTCTTATAAAAATAGAGATTTAAGCTCTTGGAAAAAAGTTTGCAATAATTAGAACTGTCCAAAAATGGACTGATGGCCTTGAGTGGTGATGAGTTCCCTGTTACTGGAAGTATTCAAGCAGAGACTACGTGATCACTTATCAAAAATGCTATCAAGGGACTGTCACTGGGTAGAAGTTTGAATAGTTGAATGCTAAAGTCTGTTTGAAATTCTAACAGCCTAAGATGCTTTCTGGAATGAGAGGTATGAGATTTCTCATTTCTATGAATTGATTAAGGTAAGCTGTGAGATTTGGCTGAGTGGTACAGCTGGGTAGAGGCCATGGAAGTAAAGGAGGGACATGGGGAGACACTGGCAAAGACGTTGAGTAGTTTTAAGAAAGAAGGCCTTGGATGTGAGGGCGATCTGGCTGCGACATCTGTCACCCCATTGATCGCCAGGGTTGATTCGGCTGATCTGGCTGGCTAGGCGGGTGTCCCCCTCCTCCCTCAACCGATCCATGTTCGTCCCTCCCGAAGCTGCGCGCTCGGTCAAAGAGGACGACCTTCCCCCCAGAGGAGAGGACCGGTCTTCGGTCAAGGGTATACGAGTAGCTGCGTTCCCCTGCTAGAACCTCCAAACAAGCTCTCAAGAAAGAAGGCCTTGTGTGAACCAGAGATTGGAAGAACTCAGAGTGGGCAGTTTCAGGTTCCGTCAGTGTGTGAGCATGTGTGTTACTGCATAAGTTGTAAGTTTTTAAACCTCTGGATGTTTCACATACAAATCCAGTTCTCCCGTGTCTCTTATGGAGAGCTCACCCTTCCCCCATGCAGTCTCGAGGGGGAGCTGAGCAGCAGCGCCCCCTAGGTGAAGTGCAACCGTCGCTGTGCTTCCATCCCCACCTCTCCCTGCTGCCCAGACCTGGGACTGGCCCTTGTCCCTCGTCCCTCACCTACACTGGTCACTTGGCCCCTGGAGGCATTTGGGTTGGCAGCCACGGTCCTGAAATTCCACTTGGGCTCTTTGGAGATAGAAAACACATTCTTCATTTTGGCGTCATCGGCACATAACCTGGTACTTGGCAGATTCTCAGTAATGTTTGTAAAAGGATCCGCAGGTGAAAAGGATGGCAAATCAGAATAATGATGGCAATGCCGGATCCCTGAACTCGTGGAGAAACTCACCCTAGAGCTCTGTGCTTGCAGTGCCCCATGAGGCTTGGTTGTTAGAAGCCAGGTTGTCAGAAGTTGGCAATGGTTGTTCTATTTTAACAAATCAACATGTAACAGTTGCATTAACTGTACCCTCAAAGCTGCTGGAAAAGTGACATCTAACACACATTTTCTACCTAACACGTAATTGGCCTGTTGGTAACATGTATAATCTGATTATTTTGTCTTTTGGGTTGCCTAGCTATGCTGAGTAAGTGACTTTATCTGCAGGTATGAAAATGAGCAGCCATTTCGAAAGGCAGTAGAAGAGGAAATTAACTCTTTATATGAAGTCATCGATGAAGCTAATTTGACAAAAATGGATCTGGAAAGTCAAATAAAAAGCCTGAAAGAAGAACTTGGCTTTCTGTCAAGGAGCTACGAAGAGGTAGGTGGGGCTGGGGTGGTGCTGGGTTGCCTACGCTCTCCTGTCTGGCCAAGCTTCAAAACTTAGGTGGCGTAGCTCACCTCGGCCTCTCCACGTCACTTGCCCAGGGCTGCGGGATGATGCTGATAAAACCCTTTCAGTCCTCGCCCTGGCCAATTTGGCCCAGCGGTTGGAGCATCGGCCCGCAGACCAAAGAGTCACGGGTTCGATTTCGGCCAAGGGCACATACCTCAGTTGTGGTTCATCCCTGGCCCTGGTCAGGGTTATGCGGGAGGTAACCAGTCGATGTGTTCCGCTCACATCGATGTTTCTCTCTCTCTGTCCCCCTCCCACTCTATCTGAAGATATTTGAGAAAAATATCCTCAAGTGAGGATTAAAAAACAAAACAGAACAAAAGAACATTTTCAGTCCTTGTAGTGGTCAGGTCAGCCTGGTGTCTCATATCAAATGGTTAAATGGTTTCAGAACCGGACTGCTGTGAGAACCGGGGAGGCAGCAGGTCCAAACAACAGCGAGTGATGGCACCTGTTGGATTGGAGGGCACATGCCATACCTCAGATCTTTGACTTCGGCCCTATATAGGACACACAAAATAACTCTGATGGAGGCTGTGGTTTGCACACACTCATTCACGGAATTAGGGCAGATCACTGAGTGACAGGACAGAGGGGACCTCCCATGCTGATGTGCTCCAGCCCCTGCAGAAGCGCAGATTCTAAACCATCTGCCACGTGGGTCCCCAACAGGGGGCGTGCAGGAGACAGCCAATCAATGTTGATGTTTCTCTCTCATCGATGCTTCTGTCTCTCACTCTCTCTCCCTTCCTCTCTCTCTCTCTCTCAAAAAAAAAAAAAATCAATAAAGAAAAAATATGTAAACCACCTTCCACATGCCACTATCTGATCCGAGGCCTAAAGTGCTTGCAGTTCAAAAAGTCAGAACCCACTTACCAATGCTCACGTCAGGAAGTTCCTTCTTTCGCCCGACCGTAGGCAAACCAGGAACCAATCAGCCCACTTCCTCCTGTTCTTGCCTCTGGATTTCCACCACTCTCCAACAGTGAGAGGCTCCAAGGTTATCTTAAAATCTCTTCCAGCCTACTCTGACTTTATGAAATTCATAAATTTCATCTTGCTGTTGTTGTTTCCTCTGTTAGTGTTGTTACTTACTTAGTTATTTGGATTTTTGCTTTGGGCCTGGGCTGGTAAAGACCAGCTGAGAAATGCATCCTGGGAAAAGAGACCATGACGCCTGCGCTGGGAACTGGATCGGGGACTTGGCCAGTGGCTGTGAAGCCCCACGCTGGGCTGTGGCAGAATGAGAAGCAAGTGTTGCCTGCAGAACTGGGCTTCTGCTGACTACAGTTCCACGTCCTCTCTTCCTCCCGTGGGACTCACTTGAAGTGTGTGCTGTCATTTCCAGGACGTGAAAGTGCTGTTTGAGCAGCTGGCAGGGTCTGAGCTGGAACGAGTGGACGTCCCCACTGGCGCTGGTCTGGACGACATCCTGGAGACGATCAGAATTCACTGGGAGAGAGACGTGGAAAAGAACCGGATGGAAGCAGGAGCCTTGCTCCCAGCCAAGGTGAGAGGTGGGACCCGCACCCTCCGCTCTGCCCTGTGCGGAAGGAGGCCGAGCGAAGATGAAAAGCATCAGCGTGCAAAGGAAGACATGCAGCTGTTTCGATCTCATTAGACATAAATGAAATGTGTATTAAAATCATACTTTCGTGTTTACCTGTCTGAAAGCAGAAAATGTTTCCAATGGTAACCATAATAATAATAATGCTGGCAAGCATGTGGAGAAGGACGTTTTCACCTATATTATTGGGAAGCACTACTATGACCCCTGTATGTAAGGAATTTGGTGATACGTATCAAGAGTCTTCAAATGCCCCTACCTGCCAGTTGAATAATCTGGACACTATCCTAAAGAAATCATTGAAAATACAAGTCAAGTTTACATCCAAGTCTACTCACTGATGCATTCATTATAAGAGTGAAAAAGTTTGGGGGGAAATCACATAAATGTTTAATAATAGGACAAAGGCTAACCATGCAATGACATATCAGGCAGCTACTAGAAATGATATTCATGGAGCATTTATAACAACATGGGGAACTGCTCATGCAACCAGGTCAAATGGGGGTGAGGTGGGGTAAAGAGATACAGAGTGGTATATGCAAGGGCCAGCAAACCTTTTCTGTAAGGACAAGACAGTAAATATTTAGGTTTCTGGGCCAGATGATCTCTGTTGCAATATTCAGCTCGGCCACTGTGATGTGAAGGGTGCTGTAGACAATAGGTAACAGATGAGCGTGGCCGTGTACCAATAAAACTTTATTTGCAGTCCTGGCTCCACAAAATGCAGCTCTCCCCCCCCCCCACCCCAACCCAGTGAGATGTGAACAACAGAGGCTGGAGCGTCAGCCTGCAGACCAGACAGTCCCGAGTTCGGTTCCCGCTAGGGGCACATACAAAAAAAAAACAAACTTTATTTACAGAAACAGGAGATGGGCTGGATTTGGCCTGCGGGCTACAATTTTCCAACCCCTGGTGTACAGAGTAGGGTACAGCACTCAAACAAAGAAACCAGGCATCAAGAAAGGATTAGAAAGAAAACGCTAAACTGTTCATGGTGTTAGCGTTGGCTTTGAGGGATGGACCTTTTGAAAGCTTTGAAATGTTTTTCTTGCTTTTGGGTATTTCTTGAGTTTTTCTTAAGTAGTATGAATTCTATTCATGGAAGAAAATGACTTTTACTAAGCTTCATAAATACTAAAGGAATTAACCAAAAATAGAAGGCGCAGGGTTTCTTGCCTTCCAGATGCCTGGGATGTTGAGGCCGAGGACGCGAAGGGCAGAGGAGGGAGAGCGTGAAGGAAGCGTGAGACTCCGGTACACTCAAGACCAGGCAAGAGGGCTGCTCCTGTGTCCTTGGTTACCACTCCTCAATCCTGGCTGCGCAGCAAAATTATTTCGGAGCGTTTTCGAAAGGGCCACACCCAGGCCTCATCCAAGACCAATTAAATCAGAAGGAGGCAAGGGATTTTGTAGTTCTCTTTTTTTTTAAATTTATTTAGGAGAGAAAGAGAGAGAGAAACATCAATTTGTTGTTCCACCCACCCATGTATTCACTGGTTAATTCCTGTATGTGCCTGGACCAGAGATCGAACCCACAACCGTGGTGCACTGGGACAAAGCTCCAACCAACTGAGCTACCCAGCCAGGGTTTTGTGATTTTCTAAGCTCTCTGGGTGATTCTAATGCATAGCCAGGGTTGAGAACCATGAGAGTGTATAAAACCTACCAAAAGAAAACCAGGAGGGCCCTGGCAAGTTTGGCTCAGTGGTTAGAGCACCAGCCCGTGGACCAATGAGTCGTGGGTTCGATTCCAGGCAAGCACACTTGCCTTGGTTGCGGGTCGGCTCGTGTGGGAGGCAGCCAGTTGATGTGTCCCTCTCACGTCCATGTTTCTCTCTCTTCCCCTCTCTCTCCCTCCCTCCCGCTCTATCTGATAATAAGTAGAAAAATATCCCCAGGTGAGGATTAAAAAGAAAGAACCAAAAGGACCTTTTTTTTTTTTTCTTTCTTCTCCCTGCCCCCTTCGATCCCCTGCCCCCTAAGTATCAACAGGAACATTCCCAGTGGGTCTTCACAATCCTGGAACCTCAGTGTTCTCCAGCCCAGAACACACCTTTCATTCCACTACTTGCCCCCACTCCCACCCCCTTTCAACACCTTCTCTTCTTTCTAGCCTTCAGTTTCTTGGACCAGGTCACAACAAGCACTTTCTATGGCAAATAGTGCCTAACAACTCCACAAAATGCAGCGCCACCCCCCCCCCCCCCGCCCCCCGCCCCAACCCAGTGAGATGTGAACAACAGAGAAACCGTAGATTTGATTTGGGTCTATCACTTCTTTTTTGGAGAGTTGTGAATATGTATAATTAATGACTCTGAAACCATCCATTTCCACTCCCTCACTTTAGAGGTGAGCAACGGAGACCCAGAGAGGGCAGTGGCCACACAGCTGGTGTGTGTGACCATCATTTAGCTCTTCTGGCTCTAGGTCCAGGGATCTTTTCTCTGCTTGGAGCTGTTATTCCTCCTCGGCCCTGTTCCCAAAGCTAAATCTCGGTGGCCCAGCAGTTTGCAACCTTGCTTCTGTCCCAACACTCCTGGGGTGTACATCACACTGTAGTGTTTATTTCTTTGTGAACGGGGGAGGTGCATTGTAATTAACAGGAATACTTCCTGCCTAGTGTGAAAAAGATAAATACCTGGTCATTATTATTCACCCTTCACCCTCTTGAGAACCGTCACCAGCCCAACAGTAATGCAAACTTAATTCTGAACAGATTCATTAGTGTCTTTTTAATAAAGCAATCTGAAAGCTATAGCTCAGAGAAAACAGACAGCACTTGTGTAAGCCTGGCCAATGCTGCCTGGGCCTCTTGCAGAGAGACAGAGCTCAGAAAATATTTGCAGAATGAGTGAATTCCTCTGATCATCAACAGAAATCAGAACTGACAGCCAAAAGTCCTCCAATAAATAGTTTTGTCAGCTGCAGTCATGCCCTTGGGGGCTGACATCTGCCCATCCTGAGCACCTCTTGTCGGTTTCTTGGCCGCAAAGCATCAATGCGAACTGGCTTAGCACGCACTGCTTTCAAAACTTTTGCAGAGAGAATACAAACATGTATTTCATTCCCTTTCAGCGGGGGAGGCTGAACATTAATTGACATGATGGATTTATGTCTTTGTTTAGGTTCCCCCAGAAACTGATCCTCAGACAAATATTGAAGTGGAGGTGGTTTATTTGGAAGTTGGCAGGGGGATACCAAAATACCAGGAGAAGGAGAAGCAAAGAGGGGAACCAACAAAGAATATGTTATCCAACCACCCACCGCTGTGGGAGACTGGAACATACCGCACGGGGGTCCCGGGGAACAGTGCAGACTACAGAGAGGGGAAGGCGAGGGTGCTGGGGTAATAACTGCTGCTCCCATCAGGCCTCTGCCGCCTGGTAGTGAACAAAACCTTTGAGTCTTCAGAGAAGCTCTCAGGCAGCGGTGCGGAGCTGTCAGTGAAAAGGAAGCTGGAGAACCGACACGATAAGGCCTAAGGGATAAAGGTGGATGCCATCGGCATTTCCTACCACTTACCTGCCAAGTCTTTATTTTCTTAATTGAGGTAAAATCGGTATATGACATTACATAAGTTTCAGATTTACAATATTATAATTCGACATCTGTATACAGTGATCACCACCAAAAGTCCGGTTACTATCCATCACCACCCAACTGACCCCTTCACTCGTATCGCCCACCCCCCAAACCCTCTTCCCTTCTGGTAACCACCAACCTGTTTTCTGTACCTAGGAGATTGGTTTTGTTCACTTGTTGTAAATTTTTTTTTAATTCCACATATAAGTGACATCATATGGTATTTATCTTTCTCCATTCAACTTATTTCACTTAGCATAATGCTCTCAAGTTCCACCCATGTTGTTGCAAATGGCAAGATTTCATTCTTTTCTATGGCTGAATAATAGTCCATTGTATATTGATTAATCCATACATGGACACGTATGTTACTTCCATATCTTGGCTTTTATAAATAATGCTGCAGTGAACATGAGGGTGCACACATCTCTTCGAATTAATGTTTTCATATTCTTCACATAAGTACCCAGAAAGTAAAATAGCTAGATGATCGGTAGTTCTACTCTTCATTTTGTGAAAAATTTCCATACTGTTTTCCATAAATCTTACTGTTTTTTAATGATTAAAAGTTCAGCGGGAGGTTCTGGTTAGGTTCTCTCCAGCCGTGTTGTTATGGGTGTCGGGAGCCTCAGTGGTCGTGTTTGGAGCTTCTCCCGGTTGTATGATTCAGTGTCTGGGAGGGTCAGGTTGGTCCAGAGAATTCTGGAGAGTCTTAACATGTGGGCTTTCCTTCTCTGTCTGTTGTGGTTACCCAGCTCAGGGAATTTGGGGGTGCTTGGGGAACCTTAGACGACACGCCAGACCACTCCCCTGACCTCCTGGCTGGGATGGAACACATTCCCCAACCTGCCACCAGCAGACCCTGCAAAGGGCCCCTGGCGAGCTCAGCAGGACGGCTCTCGGTCACTTGTTTCCTAGCTTCATGTGCTGAGATGTTTCCGTTCTGTAGAGTGACAAAGAGTCCTGAGTGCAGGTATGCTCTACCCTGACCTTGGCTGGATTGAAATCCCATGCCCTTCTTCCCTAAAACTTTCCTGGCGCTCGTGGATGCACAGAAATCACCCCATCAATCATTGTGAAAAGATGTAAAATTCAAAAATAACTGATAAGCAGATGAGGGCATTTGTGCTGGCCAGCTCCTTGACATCTTTTCTGCTGGTTCGGGTCTCACAATAGCCTCGGAAGCAAGAACTATTGTTGTTGGAGGGAGGGAAGGAGGGACGAGAGGTGAGAGTGTCTAGTTCCCGGCAGCCACGCTATTTCCGCCAAGTTTTTCTTTCACAGGTACAACCATTTCTTTTTTTTGCAGGTGTTAAATTCTTTTAAGGCACACCAGCAGTACAGGGGCAACCCTTGGAAAATTTT